AAAGCGTACCGTACTGTTCACGAAGGGAACCGTTTTGTGCACAAAGCGTACCGAACCGTACCGTTCAAGTGGTGTAGTTGCACGGAGTATGGTCTTTACAAAGTATAATCATCTTTTCATTTCTTACATTGGTATAAAACCGTTCAGATCAAGATATGAAATTTAAATGGTAATGATCAGAGGAGAATTAGAAATGTTTTAACTTTTTCAGCGTTAGTGTTAAGATCACAACATGGACACGTTCTATAAAGAATATATTCATCAAATCACACAGATTTTTCTGGGGTTAAATTCACGAGCTTCACAGACAAGTCAGCAAAACCTACAATATATATGATTTGCATTACTTAACAGAAATGTATAATGCATTTTGATATTTTTTTAAGTTGTATGTATTAGTTTTGAGCATGTTAATTTTAAACATCTTGCACTCAGCTATAAACATGATAAACCATCTCTAAATTGTTTCTTTTTTAAATGAAAATAATGCTAGATAATCTCAAAATGTATTTTATGTTTCAGATTCTCTAACAACAAATTTCTATGCTTTATTGTGATAGTTGATTACCAACACGTGACATTTATGGATGTAAACAGATTATAAATTAATGAACTACAATCACCTGTATCAAAGTTTTTTCTCTCTATGTATCTGTAGACACAAACTGTTTTGTCGTTCCATGATCCAACCCAGAGGAGATGAGTTTTGTTGTCATGACATAAGCTGTGTGGAATGTATATCCCCTGATCTTTTGTCAGTATCTGTGTCAAAAAATAACCATCCTGGTCAATCATCTGTACTGTGTTTGTGTTACCATCACACACCAGAATGTGTGACAGAGCGTCCGCACAGATTCCATTTGGTGATAGGCGTGATCCAGATGGATGTCGTGTGTAGAAGAAGTGATGTTTTCCTCCAAGATCTGTCACCACTACACCACGAAAATTGTCAGACACAATAATATCTCCATTGCGGTTCTCTGTGAGATAATTAGGATGACTATACAGCCCCTGACCCGTGGTTGTTGTGTTGTATGGTCTGAACGTGTTGATTTGTGTTACTGTAACGATTTACCTTGCCTGTCTTTTCAGCATTTAACAGTCCGACTAGTACGTCTCCTTTGTAAGCTGAACAATAAACACACATTGCTTCCCATTCCCTGAAATCCGTTACTTTTATCATTGTTCGTGTTTTGTTATCTGTTGATAGCTTGTAAATGTTCTTGAAAGTGTCTATATAAATTAATTTACCTTTATTGCTCACTGTTTGCGCTCCATTTATGATATTCCGTCTGGAATAAGGCATCATTTTTGTAAGGTGATACAGAGTGTTCCCGTCTGTATTTTTCAAGATTATTTCGGCAGTGTTGTTGTGTCTATGATTGATCCAGAACAGGTCTGAAGTAAGAAGAGAAATGTGTATTACATGACCAGGGATTTTCAGTTTAACAGTCCTATGTAACACAGGTGTAGACGTCAGTTCAACAGGTCTTCATCTCTTACTTGTTTCTCTGAGACTTGGATTTCACTAAGAAACTCAACCAGATGCTCCATTTTGATTTTCTCAGTCAAAGAGAGTAAGGTGTGTTGTGTAAGATTAAGTGTGTCTTTTATTTTGGGGACACCTGTGTATTGAAAAAAAAAACGAGAAATTTCATCGCCCTGTTAACGGACTTTTCATATCTGTGTTTATATATGTCTATGCTGGCAAGGTGTCTGTTTATTTTTCTTTTCTGTTGTTGCAATCTATGAAACATGAAATGTCTGTATCTGTCTATAACAGCACACATCCCAGTGACAATGAGGTTGTTTAGTCTCTGTGCTTTTGTCGACATCTTTAATTTAATGTTGAAGAATTTAGATCGTTCAGTTTTGATGACTGCCAGATGAAAACGGTTATCATAGAGAGCCTCACCTCTGATTCTGTGAAGAATTTCTCTGTGTTGTTCACGCATTGTTTTATATGCTGTTATAATGTTTATTATCTGGTGGTGTTCATGTTTTTCACACTTAGTGCAGAGAGGCTGTTCACATGTGTAACAGTATATTTCATAGCTACTGTCTGTATGTCTCAAACAAGGCTCGAGTTTAGGAATGTCATATTTCTCACGGTAAATCACAACATCATGGTATATGGTATCTTAATTAATAATATGTTTGTCTTTACACTGTAGACACAGGTCATGTTTACATGTGTTTCACTAGAAATCTGTGTCCCTCAGACATTGAGAACACTGTCGTACTATACACTGGCTTTTGAAACCTTGTGTGCTCATAATTTGGAAGGTAAAACATGTGAAAAGAATGAAAAAAGAGGTAGGAAAATAGCTTTTCAGAGCTAATAGTTATTATTGATGTACCCGAACGTAAATAAATATTATCTTTTTTTTATTTTAGAGATTTATCTTACAGATCCTTAAAATGAAACAAAGCAAGTACAGGGTAAATACAAGGACCCCTGGTACAGATAACTTCTCTTGTCTGGAAGTCCAGCCAGCCTCCGTATGATTAGAGTTATCTGTAATCACAACATACTCGTACATAGAACAAAATGTCATGTAAGAAATTAGAACATAATCTTCATTTTTATCGTAATAACTTAATAATTGCATATTTTAAAAAAAGAATATTTTAGCTATTCTAGCTGAAAACGATTTGGGGGGGTATATTTTGTGTCCTTTTCGTCCGTCCGTCTGTCTGTTTGACTGTCTATCCGCAAAAAATTATACCTTGCCCATTTTTTGACCTTCCAGTTTGATATATTATAAACAAATACAAAATATTAACCTTGTCCAAAACTGTTGGAGCCAGCGATTTAATACTTCACGTGTATTCATGGTGAAAAGACCTTTTATTGGGTGTAAATAGTTTTACCTTTTAACCTTAATCATAAAGTTTGACCCACTTTTGAAAACCTAAAACCTTGGCCATTACCTTCGAAGAGTTAGAAATATGGCTTTCATTTTCACAGATTTACTCCTTGTTACAAGATCTTACCTTCGGTACCAACAATTTTAATTTTGACGTTGGAGTTTGACTTACATTTGACAGATTTAACCCTCGATATCAACTATTATATGGGGGCATCAGTGTTTCAAAAATACATCGTGTAATTCTTACAGGACCCGGGCGCGGATATAAGAGGGTGGAGACAGCAGAGGTTGTGTTGGGGGATGTTGATATAAAAAGCCATCAAAGTATGAATCACCCACTAAACCCATAACCCACCACACCCATACGAATTAGGTTTCTCATGTTTGGACGATTTTTTTTTGCTTGTCAACAAATTTCTAGGCTTGATAATTTTTATTGGATGACCCCCGAAAATTAAGGGATCCTTTTCTGCACCCTCAAGCCCCTTACATGTGTTTGAACAAGAAATATGTCCAAAATACAAGAATACCTCGCCGAAGGAATGTAATGCAATATGAGAATTTGCATTAGTGCATTTAATCAGATTATCTTGAATTTTGATGCTTATCGCTTATATCAGTGTGTATCAACATATGAAGTTTGACACTAATTTTAGAAAAGTGAGGTCAAGGTCAAAGGAAAGGCCAAGGCAAATAAATATCGATGCATGTAAAAAGTATGTATCAAAAACTGACCTAAAATCTAAATTTAAAGAAGTGAGGTTAATGTCAAAGAAAGTTCAAGGTCAAAATGGTGGTGCAGTTGAATAGTTCTCATCAGTATGCTTCACCATGTGACGTTTGATAACACCATCTGGTATATTGAAAACTGAGCTAAACATTAACTTTAAAAAGTAAGGTCAAGGTCAATGGAAAGTTGAAGGTAAAAAAATGTCAAAAATTGCTCTCATCAATATATATCAGCACATGAAAGTAGATGAAAATATATTGGATGATTTCTTTAAAATCTAGTTTAACACTAATTTAAGAAAAGTGTGGTCAAAATCCAAAGAAAGGTCAAGGTCAAAAACGGAGATGCAGTCGAATAGCTCTCATCGATATCAGAATATATCAACATATGGAATTTGATAACATCACTTGAATGGTATCTTAAAAACTGAGTTAAACACTAATTTTGTAAAAGTTAAATCAAGGTCAAAATGTCAAAGGAATGGCCAACGTCAAACATTGTTGACGCAGCTACATAGCTTTTATCAGTGTCTATCAGAATATGAAGTTTGGAGAAAATGTTTTGGATAGTTTCTTTGAATCTGAGCTTATGGCAAAGTGTGACGGAAGGACAGACGGAAGGACGGGATTTGAAGACAAACACTATATTCCCCAGGCCATAATCATGGCTGGGCATAAAATATTGAAGAGTTTTTCGTACTTTCACAATATATTACTTGTAAAACTTATATAATGAATATTTTCTACCTTTACTGTGGATCTCGTATAGTAAACATTATATACAGACCTGTCTATTATCGAACAATTGATTTATGGATAACTGCTAGGATGGTGCTCAGTTTGACACAAGAAAACACAACTAATAGTTGAGGAATTGGAATGGTCATTTATTTAACAAATAAATGACAAAGTATTATGGAAATAAAACAGTAAAAATACAACAAACTAAAAGCACAATACCATAATTCAATAGAGGGAGTTGTGGCTTGTTAAACATTACCAAAATGCCACATCCCTAAAAATAAAATATAAAAAAGTCATACACATAGTATTTAGGCTAGAATAAATCAAAGTAATGAGACAAGATAATTTGGCAAATTGTATATACAAAAAGTGTCAAAGATGGGGTATCTTCCGCCACCTATCAAACTTGTGGCTTCTACAGTTTGATATGCCCCATCCACCACCCAGCAAAAAAGTACTGGGACTATAAAAGTAACTTTAATACGTACATAAACACAACCAATAAACTACGCAATGATCATTAAACCGGGAGCCCCTGTCTCCACGGTTCAATCTAAAGTTCTATCTTAAACGAAATAAACCTGAAGCCCCTGCCTTCAAGGTTTAAATTGTGCCTGATATTTGAGTGAAAATTCCCATCGTTGAAGGCCCCTGTCCTTAAGGTTCAATACCCGCAGTGTCCGGTATATCATTCGCAATGTTGAACCTGAAGCCCCTGACTTCAAGATTCGGAAAACGCCCAGTGTCTAAAAAGTATTCACGTGTTGAACCTGAAGCCCCTGACTTCAAGGTTCATACCGAAGCTGTTCAGAATAGGGATTGTGTTTGGCATAGGACTGTTTCACCTCAGATTTTCATGGTCGGTATTATTTCTTTAACGCTGAAGATTTCCAGCGGACCATATTTTGTATTTGAATGTCCGATGAACCTGAGGCTGCCGCTGTCGTGGCTGCTCCAATCCGGAAACTATGCGATTGGTACTTGTTTATATCTAGACCACAGAATGTCAGGGACAACTTTAAGTGTTCAGTAAAAAACTGACGAGAAACTGGGGAACCATCCACGAATGAAAACAAGGGTTCTGCAGGTGAACTGTGACCTCTAATGTTCATGAAAGCTTGTAGAACTAGGAAGGGGCATAACAATGGGTTGGCCATGTTTTGCTGAAGATGCAGAGTGGTAGACTGATTAGAATGCTTGAAGTGAGGGATTGTAAGGTTTATGGAATTGCCTGTAACAGAATCTTTTTGGAAAGTAACATGCTCAGCTAACAGATAGTGCTGCTTGGCGCCTGCTGTTTTTGTGATTTCTCCCACCCTTAGGAAGGCACAAAAAGCCAGAACAAACATAGCGTGAAGTAGTGTGCTGTTAAAGGCACAAGTTGTTATGGATGGTAGAGCAGCTACAACTTTTGACAAAATGTCTGGTGTTATAGGTAATCTATTGTCAATAGATGGCTTAACCTTGCTAAATCCTTGTAATTGTTTTTTGATCAGAAAGCTTTGTGTAAGATCTTGATAGCCTCCGAGTTGAAAGGTAAAGCTTAGTGCAGCTATGTGTGTGCGGGTCGTTGAAGCAGCCAAGCCTAACTGGTAGCAATGCGCAATATCAAGTAACAAATGAGAAAGCGATGGTGGCAGGGGATCTGCATTTCTATCAACATGGGTATGAATGAAACGTTTGTAAGTTGCAAATATGTTCTTATAGGATGACAAAGAGTCTTCTGAGAGGGAGTTCCTAATAAGAAAGTCTGCTGTTCTGGTCAGAGGTGTAGGAGTGTGTGCGGAACCATCGTTTCTTCCATATCCATGTTGGGAAAGAGTTCCTTGAATCTTTGTATCTGCAAGCGAGAGAGAAGATCAGGTGCAATATTATGAAGACCTGGGATATGTTCAGCATGGAAATGAATGTTGAATTTTAAAGATGCTACCATAAGACGTCTCATTAATTTCATCAAATTGGGATCCTTGGAGGAGGTTTTGTTTATAACACGAACCACCGCACTGTTGCCTGAGTGTAATACAACTGATGTGTTTGAGAGCCCCTCACCCCACATTTCCATTGCGAGGACAATGGGAAAAAATTCTCTTACTGAAATATGGTATTCTAGCCACTGTTGCTGAAAGGGGCCGTAAAACCATTTCCTGCCAAACGTACACCCGAATCCTAAATTGCTCGCGTCTGTATAAAGATGTAGGGATTTGGAAGTGTATATTTCCCCAGAATGGAAAAGTGCTTTACCATTAAAATGTTCTAGAAAAATAGACCAAGCATGTAGGTCTGCCCTAGCCTCAGCATTTAACCTGCGGTGGTGATAAGACTTTTTAATACCCTTAGTTAGGTCAATGATTCTACGAAGAAATGTTCTTCCAGGTTGCACTACCGAGCATGCGAAATTTAACAGGCCAATGAGGGACTGTAACTCATGTAGGGTAGCAGTACGCTTCCTTTTAAAGATACATATTGCATCTTTCAGGCGATGTAATTTGTATTCTGGCAATCTTATCTCAAATTTGATGGAATCTATTTCTATGCCCATAAAGGTCAGTGTAGTACACGGCAGTACTGTTTTCTCAGACTTAATTGGTAGGTTGATGTCATTTACAAGAGTGTGGAATGCCTGAAGTGCATTATGACACCCTTGTGAGTTTGGGTAACCAATAAAGAGAAAGTCATCAAGAATGTGCACACAGTGTGCAACGTCAAATTTTGCATGAAGGATCCATTGCAGGGCTGAACAAAATTTCTCAAAGAGGTTGCAAGAGTAACTAAGACCGAAAGGGAGAGTTTTATCAAAATAAAATTGATCATGAATACTAAAACCTAACAATTCAAAGTCACTAGGGTGAACTGGTACTTATTTATAAGCATTTTCTAAGTCAGTTTTAGCTAAAAGTGCCCCAACCCCAATATCCCTAATGATTGAGATAGCATGCTCTATGGTTTGGTATTGCACGGTGCAAAATTCATGTGGAATGTGGTCATTGATTGACAACCCTTCGGGATAAGACAAATGGTGAATCAATCTAAATTCACCAGGGTTCTTTTTAGGAACTAGGCCAAGAGGTGAAACTTGCAGATTAGGAAATGGGGGGGGAGGGAAATGGACCAGCTCATCTACCCAACTCTATCTCATTATTTAACTTTTGCCACAAAACACCTTCTTTTCCCTGCAAAGAAGCTAAATTTTTAGAAAGTTGGAACTCACGAGGGCCTTTGTATGGAATTCTAAAACCTGATTTAAAACCTTCGATTAAAAAGTTTGATAGAGCAGGGTCATAGTCCTGAAGATGTTCAGCTAATTTGTCAGCATTTATTGGGGTAACAACAGATTCATCAATCTTTTTTGGTGAGGGTTGAGGGTTTCTTGCGCTGGTCATTATTGGAGGATTTTGCATTTGCTGCATTGTGTTGGCCTTGCTTATATTTTGTGCAGTGAAGCCTCGAGTGTTTATTGGAGCAGTATTGGCATATGTGTGCATATGGACAAGAGTTTCCTCTGTTACAGGAGCCTGTATTATTAAACGTGAAGCAATATTTCTGTTTTGAGGGAGTTGCACGAAAGGGCTGCTTCTTTAGTTTTGTTTTTGCTTCAAAACCTTGAACCATTGCATCATGAAAAAGTTCAGAGTTTTTTGTATCCCAAGGACAAGCACGTGGGGCAACTTGACGCCACTGTCTGAATTTCTCGTCGTAACTTATGGCAGCTTCATCTCCACAGGACTTCGCTATGCCCTGAATGATTTGTGCGTATGTCATGAGCTGCCCAACCTCGTCTGGGTATTTTACGCAGTAGATCGCCACAAAGACATGAAAGGCCTCCATCCACTGTGCAATGGTTTTTATTTGGGAGGTGTCATTAGATTTAATAAAAATCAATTGTCCATCTTTCTCGACTGATTTGAATTTTGGCTCCTGCTCAAAGCTTGACTTGGGGATTAAAGTGGCAAGTTTGATGTATTCATTTGCGAATATTTTGTTTTTAATTTTCATTCCACCCCCAGTCCCACAGGTTTTGAAATTCCCACCTTGGAAATATTCTCTTGCAAATTCTTTTGAGAAATTGATGCATTAGTACCTGTGATGGTGTCTTGATTATTTACAATGGTATTGAACGTCGAAGTATTTGAGACTTCATCCGATCTGTCTTCCAGCTGTCCAGTCGTTGCTGGCTGCTGGTTGGCTGCTGGTTGCGGGGTGTTTAATTTGGACATGCATTCTTTTACAGTCTTTTCAATGATGGGTAACGCTGCAGCCATACATTCTGTAACTAGGTTTTTCAGTTGGGATGAATCGTTATCTGGCTGGGTAGATCGGTTATCGGTTGAGGAAGGTTTGGTCCTACGCCTCTTTGGACGAGAAGCCATAATCCTGAAAACAATGACGTTGGCAATAAAATCAAAATAACTCAGTAATAAATAACGACTTAATTTAAAGGAAATAAAATTGCACACCACCATTTGACACAATGCCATAAACCTGTACCACAACCATAGTTGTTTAAGGGCACATAGTTAATATGGAATACCTGTGATATACCGGTGTATGATGAAAGTGTACAATGAATTCCTTGCCTTAGAATCGTATAAAAACAACTACTAGTAGCCAGAGCTACTAAATCAGAAAAAATATAGCCATTGCTATAATAAGTAGCCAGAGCTAAGTAGCCAGAGCTACTACGAGTCATCCACCAAAATAGCCAGAGCTAAATCATGTTAAATAAAATAACTTGACCTAGAAACCTAAGCGTTAACCTACTTGTCTAATTAGTGCTAAATATCATTCTTCAATTGCCATGAAGCATTATTAATAGCCAGTGCTAAAGTAGTCATATACTACAAAGGGTGACTTAATTGCAGACCATTGCGTACTGCAAACATCATCTAGCCAGAGCTAACATAAATTTCATTAACTTGTGGAAGTGCAATTTCCACAAATTGTAGAAGAGTGAGCCAACCCAGCTTATTCTACATTCATATGCTTGGTTCAATGAGAAATTACTGGGTGACCCACTCATCCCATAAATATCCCGTTGTTTGAGATAAAGGAAACAATTTATATATACCTGAATGGAGATGGTTAATCGCTGTATTCGAATATGAAAATATAGAGATGCAGGTAAAATGGTTGCTGCAAATAAGAAAACATAATAATTAAAAGAACAATTACCATCTGTTTGTGTCAACAAAGTAAATCCTTAAATTAATAATATAATACTTGTAATTTGTGTTATCCTAAAATATGGTTATGAGAGTAAAAATTTAAATAATCATACACGTCGTAGTAACATAGTAAATAACAATAATTTAAAACATTGCAGACTGAACATATAAATAATATCTATTATATTGTTAGGTTAGCCAGAAGCACCCGTCATCATGGCTAGCAAAGATAATTTGTGTCTAGCGTTGCAGGGACAGGAGAATTCCTCTCAATTGTCTGAAATATTTTCTCATCCCCAAGGAATTAAGATGCACGCCATCACAGAAAATATTGTCTCTGGTGTTTGTAAATCCTTTCATCCTCCAATAAGAGAGGCCAACTTGTTGGCATTGAGTTTTGAGGGTTGAGTTAGCACGTAGCACTCGGGCATTGTACTCCTGTGGGTCAATATGTCTTGTCCTCTCTCGAGGTGTCAATCTCATCACAACTATTTTGTTAATATTGAATAGTGTGCGGATTTGAGTCAAAAAGGCCACGAGTCCGTGAATTAATAGATCTACTGTATCTTCTCTGCGATCTAAGTCATTTCCACCTAGATGGACAATGAGACATGTAGGTCGATACTGTTGGGCTACTGTTGATAATGACTGCAGATGGCGCGGATTCTTAACCGCCAACACCCCCCCCCCCGCTGATTCCGAAAAACTTTACCTGTGGGAGGTTTTCAATGTCAAATAACTCCGCTGAGGGTTTTCTGTTGCCAATGTATGCACTGAATCTCTTCACATGAGAGTCACCAATGAATAAAATGGTCATAGCCCGATTTCTAAATTTCTGTCATGTGACCTATGGAATGTTATGAACAATCACAAACCCTAAAACTTATCCAATGTCCGTTTTTTTTATAACTCAAGCTAGTCTATGATTTGATTTTACTCGCCTTTAGTGGAAAGGATCCTTCGTCCACACAGAGAGTGTCGCAGAAGCAGTGAAGGAATCTACCTATCGTATGGGCCTACGCTCTGGCCTATAACAGCATCTTCGCAGATTTGCATCATATAAAGAAAGGTCAAATAACTGCAAACCAAAGGGTTCAGTTACCTCAGATGCGTTGTGCCAAGTCTCTAGAAGTTGTAGGATATTATTCGTGTGATCTCAAGTGCTATGCATCCATTCAGATATCGAAAAATAGTTAAAAACTTTCACAGGAATGTGTAAACAAAGAATGAAAAATGGCGAGTGACGCTATCAGGATGCGCACGCGCAACTACAGGAAACAGTGTTATATTTATAAACAATGGCGGTAAATATTAAAACAGTATCCATAAATGTTTTGTGTTCATAAATGTATATTTCCGTCAACACTAAAAACACAACATGAAACTCATATCGCCACGAAATCAAAGATTCTAAATATGTAGACGGGCTTGTCTTCTGATCCTCGATAGGTTACCAGTAATGTAAAGGGCCGCGCCCATTGGCTGATAATAATCACGCTGACGTTGGAATTTAAATGTCTTGGGGAAAGGGGAAACCAAAACAGTTCACAGAGTGCAGGGACATCGACCCTTATAAGGTTACCTGTCATAAATATTATTTTTGATAATTTTTAGGCCTATGTTTTTTGTTTTTTTTTATTTTTAATTCTTAAATCCAGGATATTAAAAAAAGCTTTTTAGAAGTTCTCTGCATTTTTTATGCAACCAATCTATGTTAACATAACACTATTGTTAACCTTTGAGTGGAGACCTATATATTCACCCACACCTTCCGCATCGCCTGAAGGTATTTTAATACGATTGATTGATTGTATATTGTTTAATGTCCCTCTTGAGAATTTTTCACTCATATAGAGACGTCACCGTATGCCGGTGAAGGGCTTCAAATTTAGACCTATACTCGGCACTCAGGGCCATTGAGCAGTGGGGGTTCTTTATCGTGCCAGCGCCTACCGTGACACGGAACCTACGTTTTTAAGGTCATATCCGTAAGACCCGTGACTTTCACTTCTGATGCCGAGCGCTTGGGGAAGGAACAGTCGCTACCTATTTTTACGTCTTAGGTTTGACGCGGCGCCGGGAACGAGAATCGAACCCGGGCCTCCCGATCACGAAGCGAACGCTCTACCACTAGGCTACCGTGAACGGTATATATATTTTTTTAATACGAAGGGAAGCTCTTATCATATTTCATACCCTACATTACTTGTATTAAAGACAGCTGCCATATCTATTAATTGAAAATTACACATTTTAAACATTCATACATTTAGGATGACTCATTGACCCAGCATATAGTCGCAGCCTGTCTGTTTATTGTGGTAATTTCCCACCCCAGAGCATAGAGATGGCAAATCTATCAAGCCAGGAAAATCTTTTACTTCCATGTACATTATTCGCTACTGTTAAAAAAATTCCAAGACCTCTTTTCTATTTCCCTTACATTTTGATCGCTTAATAATTGTATTGATACACTGTAAACCAAAAATTATTTGCGTCATCTTCTATTCGCGATTCGTCAGTATAAATCAATACATGACGATTAATATTTGAGACCGAGGAAACATTTTCTACAAGAACTTTTCAAAATGTTTAATTCGCAGCGATTAATATTCGCAAATAAAAGTAGGTCACGGAAATCGCTATTTTTTCTCGCTTTCGAATAAATATTGATTTACAGTGTACACAACCATGTTGTTGATAATATTTTAATATTTTTATTTCTTCCTTATGTTGGACAATGTAAAATAAAATTACACTCATAATCTCTTTCATTTAAAGTACATTACTTGTATTTTTATTACTTCTATAAGTATCCAGGTACCTACCCCTTTTAATATATAAGTTTTGATCAGATATCCTAAATCTTGAAATTATTTCTCGATTTTTAAAACTTGAGGTAAAGCGTTACTCAGATGACAAAAACTTCCAGTTATAAGAACGAGAAATCTTTAATCGCTCATTGCACACCTATGTTTCTTTTGTTAAATTTCAACTTCAAATAACTAGGTCAATATTAGACTTTTCATACTAATGGTCCCTTACTTTTCCCCCAAAAATACCTCAGTTTTTTACTTTCATCATTATTTCTTTTCTTCCTTACAAAAATATTTCGAACAAACATTTTTTTCTAAATAATGAAATATTTTATGAATTTTATCCTTCTTATGACTCATCTCTATGTTTACGTCTTAGGTTTGACGCAGCGCCAAGAGCGAGAATTGAACCTGGTCATCCGGAGGACGAAGCAAACGCTCTACCATTGCAAATTGTGTTCGAAAAATAAAGTTTACGATACAGGTCTAAATTGATTGTCTGTTCTTTAATGTCCCTCTCCAGAATCTTTTCACTTATATGGAGACGCCACCGTTTGCCGGTGTAGAGGTACATGTGCAAAATTTAATGTCCTCTCCTCGACACTCAGGTCAATTGAGAAGTAAGGAATCTTTTCATGCCAACACCTACTGCGACACGGGACCTCGGTTTGTACGGTTTCATCCGAAGGACTTATCTCTACGTCCTGATATTCGAACCTGTGGCGTTAGAATTTACTCTTTACATGGGGACCCTTAATTAGACGCTCTAATCACTGTGCCAGGCGGGCGACCGATTCATGTATTTAAGTTTACTGATAGTCCCCCCCCCCCCAATTCTTACGTTTTCATTTTTAGAAAATACTCAAAAAAGATTTTTTCGCTGTGGTTGTCTCCTCTAGTTCTCAATCCTTCTTCATAAAATGTGATTTGTGGATTAAATTGAAATGTATTAAATTTCCACTAGTCAGGGTTCTCCCTGAGCGGTCTCCCGTCACAGTAATATTTTTCTCCGACACAGTGACGATTCAAATTTTATGTGTGCGACACAGTGAAAATTTGCAGACACAGTAAGATCTGTGATAATTAGAAAATCAAAACATATGAATTCTCTCTTCTTACAAAACTTTGATCCAACATTTATACCGTCTTTCAATTCTAAATATTAATGGTTTAACACTTAATTACTTTAGGGCTTATCTCCTAGACCCCCTCCGGACTTTACACATGAAGTAATAAAGCCAAATAAATTGGTTTCACATTTCCATGTAACGCTAAATTATATCAATAGTTGCATTAAATAGATTGTATAATTCTTTAAATTAATATTAATGGAATTTTTTTTAAAAAATGTGTGCATGTATTCTTTTGTAATTATAACGAATAGTGATTCAGTTGCGAATTTGATAGCTAAAACACCACGTTACAGACAAAAATACAGATGGACCAACAGAAATACCGCATCGGAATCAATTTCTCGAACTTTCTGTAGGGGACAAAAAAAAAGGAATAAAATATGCAGATTAATTCATTGATTGTATATCGATAATTTTTCACTCATATGGAGACGTCGCTTTATGTCGATGAAGTGTAGGCGTGTGTGCTTCAAATTAAAACCTATATTTGGCACTCAGGTCCATTGAGCAGTAAGGATTCTTTATCGTGTCAACGCATACCGTGAAACGGGACCTACTTTTTTAAGGTCCGGAGACCCGCGACTTTCACTTCTAGTGTCGAGCGCTTGGCGATTAACAAATCGTTTTCAAGCTCAGAAGTCTATATGAATGATTTTATTATGAATTTTCATTCAATGAGATGTCTAAAAGTAGGGTAAATCATATTTTGTTAATCTTAAACTTTCTTGTTTCATCTGCACACCGTGGTTTTTACAGGTCTATTCATCTACTTCTAACAAAAGTTATTCGTAATCTCAAAATTAAACATTTCTTTTAAACTGGTCAAGTAAGGGTATGAAATTCAAGAGTAAAAGATCAGGACTAGTAATATTTTTCATTTTTTCTCAGTGTTTGTTTTCTGACTGCAAAATTGGACAAGCCTTGCAGAGTATTTCATAGTTTCACATACATTTTCCTTGGATTGAATTCATAAGGACAAGTCAGCTAAACTTAAATAGCTGCAATTATATTTAATACATAACTCTAAGGAATGTACATGTACATATGTACATATGTTTAAATTAGTTTTACGTAACAAATAATAGTTTTAACATTTAGAGTAAGCCAATTTCTAGTGTCCAAACTTAACTATTGTTCCTATTTTTTAAATGAAAACAAGGTAGATAAGGTAAATGTACCATTGTTAAATGTATAAAAAGATATTTCTAAACAATACAATAGACAAGGCTTAAGGTTCTTAAGTTTCCTGTGAGATAGATGATGCATGACAATTTAGGATGTGTACATTTTTCTCATCAATGAACTACAATTATTTATTTCATAGCTCCTTCTTTTAATGTATCTATAAACACCAATTACGTTCTTGTCCCAGAAACCAACCCAGAGGAGATGAGTTTTGTTGTCATAACTGAGGCTGTGTGGTTTTATTCCTGGATTTCCTATTTTCATCCATGTCAGAAAGCTTCCATCCTTGTCAATCACCTGTATTAAATCAGTGTTAGAATCACACATAAGAATATTTGACAGTGCGTCAGTACATATTCCATATGGTTGTAGTTGTGAACCAGATGGAAGTCCTGTGTAGGAAAAACGATGCCTACCTGCACGATCTGTCACAACTACCTGATTAATGTCTGACACAATAACATCCCCATTGCGGTTCTCCGTGATGTACCTAGGTTCACTGTACAGTTGCTTACCCTCGTTGTCATGTTCTGTCGTCTGTATGTGGTGTCCTTTGTTATCGTAACGGTTTACTTTTCCTGCCTTTTCACCATAGTTGCAAATACCGACGAGTAGATCTCCATTGATAGGGGAGGAAAAATACGCACAAAAGCTCCCATTGATGTGTTCCTTTTATCAGTGGAGAACATGTTTTGTTATTTGTAAAAAGTTTGTAAATTATGTTATTAGTGTTTATAAAAATTAATTCACCTCTATTGTTCACTGTGTGTGCTCCATATATATTGTATAATCTTAAATACGGTAAACTTTCTAAGTGAAGCAGAATGCTCCCTTCCGTGTTTGTCAAGATCATATCTGTAGTGTAGTTGTGTCTCAGACTGATCCAGAACAGGTATGACGTACGACGAGAAAAGTGTGTTACACGACCAGAAGTTTTCAGACTAACAGATCTGTAAAATACAGCTGTAGGCATCATCTCAAACAGATCTTCATTTCTTACTTCTCTCTCTATAATTTGGCTTTCACTCAGAAACTCAATCAAATCTTGCTTGTTGATATTTATTGTCAGGTTACGCAAGACGAGCTGTGTAATATTAGGAGTGTCTTTTAT